GATAGGGTTGTGTGCTTGGTTGATTTTGTATGTGCATTGGTTGATAGTTTTGTGTATTAGCTAAATTTAGTGCATGATATTTTATGTTTCGAGACACTTGATTTTGTCGAGGTTTTTGCGCACGATATTCTTTTGTGTATAGTGCAAAAATATCTGGTTGGTAATAATCCTCATCATCTGATGATAAACAATTTGATGTATGATATGGGGTTTGTTGTTTATTTCTAATTTGTTGGGAAAATGGGTAATTTTCACTATGATCTTGTGAGGGATGTGGATAGTCATGGAAATTTACTGAATTTGTGATGTCATTGGAAAATTGGATTTTTGTGAAAATAAATGATTTTGCCTATGTATTCGGTGAGTGAACTGATGAGAAATGGGAAAGCAGAGTTTTCGTCTGGACTTTTGTCACTTGGACTCTGGCTCATTTTTTCGTTTTATGACTGTCTGTGCGTAATGTTCAATGTGTCTGATTGGTTGATTCCAATTGTATAAACGTACTGGTTTATTTTCGTATATTTTTTTAATTCTTCTTTTTCCTTGTTTTGATGAATTTGATGTGGCTTCTGAATCAGAAAAATATAAATGATCGTGAACTGGGTAGTTTTTATTTACCGTTTCTTTTAGTTTGCAAAGTGCATCAAAATTACTGACTTCTGATTCGGAGACTGCGTTTCTTCGCTTTGAAAATCTTTTCCGTAAAATTTGTCTTTGTTCAATTATAATTTTCCTATTTATTGTTTGCCGTTTTGTGCGAGTATATCCAATCCTTTGTTTGTGCGGTGTGATTACGAGATCGTATGTTTTGTTGTTTAATTCGCAATTGTGTAGTACGATTGTTTGTTTATTTCCTAAATTGTTCAGTGACATAAGGTTTAGGATGAAGGATGCAAGGTTTGTAATAATGATTTTAATATTCTAGACTGTTAGTCCTTACGATTTTTTGGTTAGCCTAACTTGGGTCTTTTTATTCAGGGTTGAAGAGAAAAATATATATCGATTCCCGAGAATAAATATTACTTTCTCGTGACTATATATTACTTAACCTTACTTAGGGTAATGATTGTGTTCAAGAGTAGGAGAACAGTAAATCGGTCCACACGGTTCAGGTATAATTAGAACGCAAGTATTCCGTTAGATACTTTTTTAAACTTACTAAGATTTAAGATTTAGCCTGGGTCAGGTAGGAGAGGGGATCAAGTGAAGGATGAATAACCGAAGTTCTTCACTGTTTAGCCTAATTAGAATGGTTAGAGTGATTTGAAAAATTTCTATTAGTCCTGGGTCTTTCAAAGGGTTGGGTAGTGAATCGACGTTTGAGGTCGTTAGACACTTTATTAAAAGGGTGGGGGAGAACAAAATTGTTCTATTCGATTCAAGAATAAGCCTTGATGATCAGGATATAAATATAATGGTATAAAATGAATTAAGTTAAGTATTTAAGGAGATCCAAGGAAAGCCTTGATGATCTTTTTTTAAGGTGCAGATAAAATTAAGTTAATTAAAGATACAAGATACAATTTAGGATAAGCTTTTAAAAATAGTTTTAGGTTTTATTGATAGAAAGGTTTAGTTTTTGATGATGTTAGTAGTTTTAAGATTGTTGTTATGTTTAGGTGAAGAAGCTGGAGATGACACGATGATTTGTATATACTAGTAATTTATGATCATGCTAACTAATTTTTATTTTTATTTTTAATAAATATATTTTTCAGATATCTTTTTGAATCTTACTGAAGTTTTGGAGGAAACGATTCGAGATGTTTTTATCAATCGTTATTGTACAATAGTATATTTTGTTAAGCGCCTGAAATAATCAATGAAAATTTTTCTTCAAGATTTTATGTTTGCAAATGAAAATCTAAATTCATTGCTAGTAAACTTCTAATTAAAAAAGTTTGTGTTGGCTTTTGCCGTACGACCATGAAATTTAATGGTATGTTTCTTCGTAGTCGTAGATCGTCTCTTGTCCGAGGTCTTTTTCCAATACCGGGTAATTCTCGTATTGTACGGAATAGCGGCTCTGATCTATTGAGTCGTAGAGACATTTCAATTAAATTATCGTCATGTAACTTTTCGGGAATGTTTTTGTCTATTTCTAATCTATCTTGTTAGTTCTAAGCTAACTTAATTTTTAAGGTCCTATTCGAGACTTATGGTCGCACCAGATGAGTTATGTTCGAGGTTTAACTCATAGATTATGACTATATCCGATCCTAATCTTACTCTTATATCTACTAGTCTCAGGGTGTTTAACTAGTCTCTGCTAGGCTCAATAGATCTAGAGTATACTGGCTTATTGCGATTGCTAGAAGGTCTCTTGGAGAGGTAACTAATTTCTAAGTTAAATTCAAATCTCTCTGGTGCTGAAATTACAAGTAATTTCAGCACTTACAAATAAGTGGGTTGTTAGTTAGATGGATCATGATTGGTTAATATTAAATATTAATATTAAATATAGTGATAAAATATCTAATTTATAACCAATAATAAAATGTAGTTTAGATCTGGTTCCACCATTCTCTATTACTTGAAATTAAGCCTCTGAATACAACGTTTTTTTGTTGTTTTTGCTGTGAGCCAAATTTTTGCTGAAGAAAACTTTTTTCATAATAATTTGGATAATTTGACGCTTATGCGATTAAATCTAGCGCTAAAACTATACCTTATCAGCTCACTTCAGTTTTTTTATTTTTACATTTTTTTGCCTTTTTTTGTGTACTTTTTTCTATATAATTTTGGCTAAATAGCGGTTAAAAGTAGTCGGTGGTTCTTAATAGCGCAAATTAATGAGCCGAGTTTGATGGTGGATTGAGTTTATAACAACTTTTTTGCCTGACATAATTTTTTTCTCCGTGCAATTTTGGCTTAATAGCGGTAAACAGTAGTCGGTGGTTCACAGTAGCGTAAATAAATGAGCCAACATCGATAGTTGATTGCGCCCCCAAACACTTTTAAATTGTTCAAAAAATTTGGGTTGTTTTAATTTTGAAGTGTATTCTGTTTTGATGCGTTGGTTTTGCACTATTAAACTTGAGAAAAATCAAGCAAATCTGCTTGTTTGCAACACCAAACTTTCATTTAACTAATCATATGCAAATCATATGCAAAACAGCAAATCGATTTTTCTTATTGCTTAGTGGTTAGGTCGATTGCTTTTGGAAATCTGACGGGCCTTTTGAAAGTCTGTAAAGTCTAGTCGAAGCTGGTGTTATGGTTGCCTGATTTCCAAGGTGCTCAAGTTACCCTGACAACCCTGATTGTTTTAGTTTTAGTTTGCTAGATGCCTAGCGGATGTCACTCGTGAAAAAAAAACCTATTGCAGGGTTTTCGATACCTTCCTGGGCCGACTGCGCTGTATCGCTCCAGATGAGACTAACATTCGGCATCCGGTAAGCTTTTGCAATCCGGTAAGTTTTTGCTCATCAGATGGATTGGCTACTCTGTTCACAATCCTTCACGAGTTTAATCGACGGATCTTTTTTCACCGTAGTTTTTTGTTCTCATAAAAACTGCCGGCCGAAGCTCTTTTTTCAATCTGTCATTCGCGTTTTTTTTACAGTCAGTACTAGTTCTCTAACAAACATTATTATAATTTTTATTTCACGTTTTTTGAAAAAAAGAACAGGTGAATTTTCCTTTTTTCTTCATGTTTTCAACGTCAGCAATTAACTTTTTATTGAGAAAAAAAATGAAAAGCACCTGCAATTTTGTGTCATTATGATCCATTATAATCGACTCTAATGAATTTCAAAAAGATTGTGTGAAATTTTCTTGTCAATATAAACCATTATTATCGATTATTATAGGTTTTAATTAATTCTCAAAGGTTTTGTGGAAATTAATTTTCTTGTCATTATAATCTATTATGATCAATTATAACTGATTTTAAATGGATTATAATCGACTTAAGTTTTTTTTTGAAAAAAATGGATTATAATGGATTATAATCGATTATGTGGTCCCAAAGTGTAATTATAATTGTTTATAATGGCAACATTCTTCGCCAGGAAAATCGATTAACGAATATTATCCATGGAACCTCACTGCGAGGGGAGTTCTGAAAATTGTGGTTTTGTTAAAGATTATCAAAATTGTGAGACACTCAATTTTCTAGACTTTTGCAAAATATTTCGTGATTTTTGTTTGTTTTGTGTTGTTTTGTTTTGTTTAAGCATTTATTTTGAGTACTTTTTAACAAAATCAGTAAAATTTCACATCTCAAACGACAGGATTTTTGGTGAAGGACAAACAGTAACATCGACTGCAAAAAAAACTCAGGCTTAGATTTAAAAGGAAAAATTGCGTGAGTGTACTCATTTTTTTGCATTTTGGTTGGCAATTTTATATCGATTGCAATTTCCTCGGAGTAGCATTTTTTGCACAATCATTGGATTTTGATCTAGCCTTTTCAGATGGTTTTTTAAAAACTAATTGACAAATATTGGGCTCATATAAAAAAACATTCTTGCAATGTTACAGCGGTACGAATATTGTCAAATTACGACGCCTAGTTCTAAGTTTTCACCACTATGAAAACTTAGTTCACCGATTACGCTTGATTAAACAAGAGAATTTAATGTCAAATTTTTTGTCGATCATTTGCTTCTTCTTAATAAAGGGAACCGATAGAAAAACTGAAAGGTTTTTGATCATAAAACTTATAAAAACCATAAAACTAGTCCATCTATTTTCAACTATTTAAAATAAACTAGAAAGATTTGTCAATTCAACATTCGGTTTATATTGAACTTCGGTTTAAATTAACAAAAACAAGTCAAATCTTTGCAAAACCTCACACCATCAAATTTAAACTCTTTATATATATTATAAACATACTTGTGAACACCGGCGGTTTTTTTTTTGGGGGGGGGGGGGGGGAGGGGCGGTGGAGGGGCGGTGGAGGGGGCCGACCTAAAGGATCCTCCCTTTTGCACTATTTTGAGATATCCATTTTTGATGACGGACTCCAAACTTTTTCTGATAGCGCCTCTGGCTCCAAAATAAACTAGTTTTGAGGGGGGAGGGCGCGCCGAAAAAAGCGATTTTTTGGTCAAAAATATTTAAAAACGCCTTTTTCAGCCTGCTTTTTCGAAATTTGTCTGCAGCGCAGAAAATTTGGTCAAAATGGTGTCTTTATAGTGACTTAGTATAGCTCAGATTATCGATTTGGTCGGCCTCAAAAAAAGTCAAGAAAAATATCACAATTTTTTGAAAATCTGCCCCCCCCCCCCCCCACCGGGAAAATACTAAATCCGCCCCTGCTTGTGAAATAAAAACATTCGTGTCGACTAGTTATGTATTATTACCCTTGTACTTTTTCATTTTTCAGTTCAAAGCCCAGCACGGGTTCGTCTGCTAAAATTCTTTAAGCAGACAACCTAATCAATTTGGTACATGATCAAAAAGTACAAAATGACGACAGTCACGACTATAAAATGGCCAATCAGCATTATTCGGTCTATAACTGCAGACATTTTCTTCCACTGACTGTCTCTCAGCCTGTCTCGGGCATCATCTGACGAAGTCCCTTCATCCTTGCAAAACTTCTCCAACTCCTGCTGCAGCTGACGAGCTCCATTGTCATTCAATTGGGTCCCATCTTCTTCTTTGCCACTTTGTTCAGTTGGCTGGATAGTATTTGATTTTTCGGGTATTTCCTGTGGTATAATCAGGATACATCTCAGCTTCTTACTGGAGATTAATTTGACAAGGTATGCTGGCATTTCCAAACCAATGTTGCTGTGGTAGATATGCACAACTGTAACGAATATTATTAAGTTAAACTCGTGAGGGAATTGAAATTAATTTTTAAAAAAAATTCGCGTTAAATTCTGACCAATATCCTGTAACGCACGCAAAACATTCTGGATTCTGAATCCAACATCATTTTCTGTCTCCCAAGTTAACTCCCTTAAACCGAAGTTGTGAATCATACAAATGCATTCACTATTCCATATGAAAAAATACTAGTCATACAATTTTTTCAGTTTTTTTTGTTTAAATGAAGTAATAACATTTTGAAAGAAATTTTCTGTTGTTTCGGCATAAAATTTGGTGTATCATCACAAAATAAAAAAAATGGCAAAACATGCTCGTAACACAATTTCTATAAGTGATGGCTACATCAAAAACTTTATTGCTTAGTTTCGGCATTGTCCCATTGTTTCATAAAATGTTTTGAAGCACAGAACGAGTTTTGTCATTCTTGCTTTTTTATTTAATTTTGTTTTGCACGCAAAAAGTTTTTTTAAGTGTGCATAACGTAGTCTTTGATACCCAAAAACTACTTTCTCAAAACTACTACTCAAAAACGCTCAAAAACGCGTTTCAATCATTGTAATGGGTTTTGAGTTTTTTTGACGCGCCCTCTCTTCCTCGTCGAAAAAATTTCCTGAGACACTTGGATCGATTGATAGTCAAAAAACTTAGTTTGCGTCTGAAAATCAGTGGTCGATGAGCAATTTTAAGTCGAGCAAAAACTTTAGTTATGCCCCAGAGACCTTGGTCAATTCTAGGTGGTGTATTTCCGTACGCGCGTTCAACAAAGGCACTTGAGGCAATTATCATAGTGGTAAGGCGTGTTATCGATCATATGCCATAGCAATGATAGTGTGTGAGGACGAGCTCTCACTTGACCTCTAGCTTCAGGTCTACCACAGCTTGACCGATTAAGGCGGCAATAGTGAAACAACGCGAAAGTTCTAGACTCAAAAAATGGGATTGAGTCTCAAAAAACTAGCTTCGCACAACAAAATAACTCATTCTGGAATGTGGGGAAATGAGAGAAATGGACAACGCGTAGACAAGCTGGATAGCTTTTCATAGATCCTCTGCGAATCGCAGAAACCACAATTTTTAAACAAAAAAGTCTCGATAAAAGTTGAATCAACTTTGGAGCTGAAGAGGCTCTTCATTAAATTTCAAATTTCTAATTAAAGGGCCGAACTAAATTTTTTAATTACATCGCTGCTAAATAGCTAGCTATTGCAACAAACAAATCCAAAAATTTTTAAAAAATTTTTGAGAATTTGATCAAACATGTTGTTTATTAACCTTTATGGCATCTATAGAGGTCCTAGTTCATCAAAAAAAAAGTTTGTAGAATTACCGAATTAATGAAATTGCCTGTTAGTCGTTTTTGAATGCTCATTAAACCAGGGTGTTGGAAAATAATTTTAGATCGTCAATTTATAAAACAACCAGCGAGTTTTTCCCACAAAATCTCCAAACTTATCCTTTCATCGATTATAAGAACAAATGCACCAACCGATTATAGCTATGACTGATAGGGTTACGATATGGATGATTTGAGTTGCTATCATTTCCGCCAGAAGCGGCAACTCGTCGAAGCTCGGAGGGAAAATATCCTGCAAGATGCCGAAGTTGACCATCTCGGCTAGCAGAATAGTCACAATGAATGAAATCTTCTCTCCAGATTCGACCGGAATTGCAAACTCAAAACCCGAACAGATGTAGAGAATTAAACTTGGTGTGATGAGAAAGAACTCGTAAAATATGGAGCGTCGTTTCAGGCGGACTGTTAGCTCGACCCCCGTTTGTTCGTATTGCGTATAGCTTTTAACTATGCTGAATTGCATTGGTTTGATGACTTCCCATTGAAAGTTGTCCTTGTATGAAGACAAAAAGTGTTCTTGAATCATCGGGTTCACTGAAGCACAATTCAATTGCTGTTACACTCCATATTTATCAAATTCCGAACAAACTTTTTCTTCCTGCTACCGGTACATTTTGAAGTAGATATGTTCCAATAATTGAGGCTAGCGTCGAACTCATTTCATGAACCGAGTAATCAATAAAATGATTCAAAATTTTTCAATTGAAAATTTTTTTTAAGGCTGCCTTCTTTCAATATGGGTTTTAAAATAATTATCTGAATGTTTTATTGAGTGCAATTCAATTTTTGCAATTCCATAAAACTAAAGTAATGTTCCGCAAAATAGCAGAGTTAATAAACTCATAAATTTTCAATAACATGGGAAATTCTTCGGGAGCAGTTTGTCGCCTCTGTTCCAGACCTTAAACATTCTTTTACGAATTTTTCTCGAAAAGTGCTTCACTTTTGCTGGAATCTGTCAATCATTTTGCTTACCACAAAACACATGCACTTTTTTTTATAAAACAGTAAAAAAAAAATAATTATTGGAAATCATTCCTGAACTAGAACAAATGAAATTTATCAGAAATTTATCATATAGCTTCACCTATATCACCAATCGAAAAAAGTTTTCGTCCTCAAACCTGTGACATTCCAATTACGATGTGGCATTCGGTTCATCAGCCGTATTCGACACTCTTGCTCGTCGTAGGGGAACTTGCGCACATTGATTAAGCACGATAGCACACCTGTCACGTCTTGATCATATGCAATCACTCTCCCATCATACATCAGCACTTGCTTCCTGTCTGAAATCTTTCCAATCATCTCGATTAGAGAAGGAAGCGCTGAAAAATCAAAAAAAAACATTCTTGAAGGAGCTTTAAAAGGAGGCATTTTGCATAAATGTTTTCCGAGCATTAGCTTTTTTTTGCGGACATCAAACTTGAATAACTTATACATGGTTTTGGTTGAAAACTTTGCGAAAATTAGCGCATCGAACCGTAGTATCTGGTAAATCTTGCACCAAAAACTTTGAAAATTTTAACAGTCCAAAAAGTCTGAAAATTATTCCTGAACGAGAACTCAAAAATCAATTTGTATATTTTGTTCATGGGGTCACTTATATTTGACAGACAATATTTTCCAATGCAGGCTTGTTTGCTGGTTGGTGTTGCTGATGTTCGGCTTATAAACAAAAATGCAAAAAAAAATCACATTTAATTTTGATTTTTTATCAAGGAAAGTTTTTCAGACATTTTTTTTACTATTTTTTGATTAAATTTTCGCAAATACAAAAACCATTTCTCAAGCAAAAACAAGAAAATTATTTTAGTTGTGAAGTCCTGCTCAAATGATCTAATAGTTCTCAACAATTATTCAACAACTATTCAAAGCGACAATTTTTCGGATAAACACCTGGTCGAGTAATACCTAATGAGTTTATGTCCGGGGTTGCACAAATGAACCAATGTTCCTGACTGTTGTTATATAAAACCCTTCAAAAACGGTAATTCAATGTAGAAATTAATTGTCAAAAAATATCCCTGCTTTCTTCAAGTTGAATCAAAAATCACACCAAGCACATTTATTTTCTTTTTTTTTCAAAATTCAGAACAAAATCATGAGAACAAACGGTTAGATTTAGCATTGAAAATGATAAAAATTGAGTTATGTTCTGTTGACTGTACTCATAGAGTAATTTCAGATAAGGTACACCGTCTGCTCGTCACGCTATCTTAATTTCGGCCGGAAAGATTCGTGCAACTTCTTAGTCTAATAATAATCTTAATCTTATGCTTATATCTCCTAGTCTCAGTAGTTCTAGTGTATACTGTATTTGGGAGTTAAATATCAGGAACTATCTCGAAGGAGAACAATTGTCTTCTTAGTTATAATAATTGTTCTGTTGCTGAAACTATGAATAGATTCAGCGTTACAAATAATTGTAAGTGTTAGTTTGGGTCATGATTGGTTTAGTTAGAAATAATTTATAGAGATAGTTTTATCAATAAATTATTTTGATATAAAAACTTGTTTTAAAGTGGTTCCAATAATCCGTGTTATTAGTAATTATGACGTAGTTTTGCCTTTATCCTGTATGAGCTACTAAGTTAATCAATTTGCATTTTAGTTTTTCGATGGTTTCCACCTATAATCTGCTTGATGACTAGTACCTGTCCTAAGTGACACGGTAGCATGCTCGACCACTTCCCCTCCCTCAGTGTTGGTCTACCGCTTAATACTTTCAACTACAGCCATTTCTGACTGACAGGTTTGTAAAACTTTGTTCAATACTTGGTAATTTTGAACGGGAATCGCGCGCTGAAAACAAACTATATTATTGGTGCAAAACTTTCCAAAACTTCTCAAAGACAGCATTTTTGCCAAAAAATTCTTGCATCGCAGAAAGTTTGGTCAAAAACTTTTGTTTTCACAATAATATAGCACAGCCACTGCAGTATCTTAGAAATCTATCGCAGTAGATTTTTAATTTTTTATTCTTACTTCTTAATTGAGAAATAATCATACCAACCAATGATACTAATTCTAAGCACCAAGTTGTATACATTGCGAAGCTTCCGGGCATACATACTTGCGTGCTGATTGCAAACAATCGATCTCAGATAAAAGCACCGCAAAACCAGTATTTCATATCTACGCCTTTTAAAACAAAGGAAAAAAAGAAAGGGAAGTGTCTTTTTTATTGAAATAAACGGAAAAAAAAATCGGTTATTGGATTTTTGAAAAATGTTTTTCTTAATAATCTTAGTTTTCAGTCTGCGTATCACTATCTTTGAAAAAATCGCTTTTAAATCAGTTGTTTTAAAGTGTTGATGAGCTTTATACACGCTGAAAGTGGACAAAAATGTCGGAAATCAAACTGGTGTATTATATGATGTTTCATATTTGACATGTACGTTTGATATTAAGAAAATAGCACAAAGTACCGGTTTCTGGTCTCCAAACTGAATGGTCATCAAGGAAGATGTACTCGTTCCCTCCGTATTCCTCAGGGTCCCACTTGGCTGAATCCGAAAAATACTGGATTAGAATCTCGAAGGATATTGTCCATGAATTCTTCTTTTCGTCCACTTCCACAATCTGCTTCAAGCCCAGGGAAAATACCACTTCCTTGTTTTGTATGTCATCGGGTGGAAAAACAGCCGGTAGTTTCTTTTTTAATTGGTTCGTTAATCTATCCTCTTTGTCTCTGAGCGATTCTGAATCTTCAGTCAAGCTGAGATCGATCATCAGCGACACCAAATAACCAATAACTAAGAAAACACTTTTCATACTTATTTTTGCAGCTTTTTTCCCCAAAAATATATAGGAAAAAAAGATGAATTTTATTTCTGTTTGAAATGAAAACAAGTTCACTAAATAGCAGGAACCAACCAAAAATGTCACATATTGCAACAAATGTCACATCTCGATAGTTTTTTATTAAACTACTAATGTGTGAGCTAAGTGACATTGCTTAGTGTATTTGCGCCTGCATTAATAAACAAATGATCCCAACAAAAGTTGACTGAAATATTAACTAAGTGGACGCAACTGTGACCTATTGACCGACCGACCCATCACTTTCCTCTAAAATTGATGGATTTCAAAAAACATTTGTTATTTGAGATCGAGAATGATGCAATAATTACTCAGTCGTTAATTGAGGTCAAATTTGTGATTTGAGGTTAAAACAAAATTTTGCCTGCCTTTTTTCACTATTCCAGCCCAAATTTTTGAGCTCAGATTCATTTTTAAGGCGCATAATTAGTTGAAAGTTCTGATGCGTTTCCAGAAAACTATTCAAATGATCTGCTTTTTGGTACCTTTTAAGCATTTTAAACCTTTTTAAGTTGTATATTGAGAATAATTTGTATTCAGAATTTAAAAAATGTTGCTCTATAATCCAATAAGTTTTGAATTCAGAAAAGTTATAACATGGACCTTTTACCAGACTCAATAAACAAATTTGATTGACAGATGTAATGACGCCGTTTAGTCTGGTTAAAGACAATGATTTCATGGTTTCTCAGCAAAGTTTTGTTTGTTCTAACCGCTTCCTTTTCAAATCTTCCACTAATTTTAATTTATACTAATTGAGTTATTGCTTTGTGGTCTGGTAAAAAGACGGGCGGAATCCCTCATGCGCGAATGACCGAATGCGCGAAAATACAAATCAACCAATCAGATTTCAGTAATCTAAAATTTGGAAAGAAAGTAAACATTAATATTTGGAAAGAAAGTAAATTTAAAAAGAAGCAATTGCCATTAAATTTAAATGAATTAAATGAAGCAATGTCTTTTTCTACGAAACCCTTAAAATATAAAATTTGTCCCAATGTTGCGACGGTCAATGACAATTTGAAAATTTTGCATATTTCTACCGTTTTTAAATTCGACCAATATCAATACTCCAGTCCCTGGAAATGTTTACTTTCTTTCCAAGTTTTAGAATGCTGAAATCTGGATGGCTGATTTGTATTTTCGCGCATTCGGTTCTTCGCGCATGAGGGATTCCACCTGGTAAAAGGTCGGTCTGGTAAAAGAAGACCCAGTCCCTTCGCATAGTGCTCTTCCGCGCATAATTATTCTTGCGTGTTTAATTCTTTTAATTGCACCAGAACTAGCTTCTCTTAAATTTTTTTGAATTAACCTTTGCTTTACAAATTTTTTTTGTGCTCGTTAATATAAATGGTCTCAGATGTGTCTATTTTTTATCAAGTTCCTTAGTCGGTATAACTGGAATAAAACCGATGCAACAGCTTGACCATATAAACTATATACAAATTATTTGTGATTATAGACCACGAGTAATTTTCCAGTTAAGAATAGTGTTTTCGCCCCTCAATTTCCGGGAAATTTTTGTACCCTGAAGTAGAACACCTTTGGGTGATATTGTCGTTCAGCTGATATATTTTTTCTTTTCGCTCGTGATTGAAACTGCTCATCTTCACTAGGTTCCAGTCCTGTGCTACTGAGTACCCGGGTTGACCAAAAATGCTAGTCATACAATTTTCATATATGGAAAAATGCTAATCATGCACTTTTCATGCAATTCCATAAGTACAGAAAATTGCATGAAAAATCTATGATTAGTATTTTTTCATATATGGAAGTTGTATGACTAGCATTTTTCCATAAACCAAAAATATTGATTTTTTACATTTTAATTTCTCGTAATCGAACGCAAATGACATATTCCTTGGTTAATCAAACGTAGTAACCAGAGGTTTGGCCGTCTCTCAATAAAATTGCATCGGAAACAGCCTGAAATTATTTAATTCTGTCTCACACAAATAATATAACGAAATTAACCAACTTTTAAACTTTGGCAAAAATTTGCAAAGATGATTATATCTAAAGTTTGAATTTTTAAATTACCAGACATTGATCAAGGCATACAGAAACATTTCATACAAAAGAAAGAGGAGTTACAAGCATTTTTGAAAAAAGTTATGAAGAGAAAAGGAAAAAAAATCCAATTTTAGTATATACAGGACTACGTTATACGCACAAAAAATTAAATTTTGCATGCAAAATTTTTTTCTCAAAAAATGTTTGTTTGAGTACAAAAATCAATTTGCGCTTCTAAAGAACACAAAAAATTTTTTGGGGGCAATATCAAAAATACTTTGAAAAATGTTTGTCGTCGCCATCAAAAAATGCTAGTCTATGCATATATGGAAATTGTATGATTAACATTTTTTTTGTCAAAAAATGTTTTCTTTTTAATTTAGTACGATACACCGAAATTTATGACAAAACAAGAGAAAAGTTTTTCGAAAATTCGACGACATCAATTTAGCAAAATGTATTAAATTTGAATGAGTAGTATTTTTTCATAGACTTAGTTTATAAAATTGTATGATTGCCATTTTTGGTCTATGGAGGTCAACGCGGGTACGTTTTTGAAAAGTTTGACAAGTAAACTGCTGTACTTCTTTGGTTTTTTAAATCAATCATAGCTATCCATTTCTTTCGTTGTTCTTCAAAAAGGCAGTTAATGATTTTCAATTGCACGCAATTTGAAATGCATCTTCGAATTACCCTCCATAACCAAGTGTAGAGTGAACGAAAGGATTAAAATGAGTTTTGAAATTTTTAGGACAAACAAAATGACGAATCAAAATTGAGATTTTTGAAGGTCTTATAACCAATTAAATATGTATGATTTTTCTGACAATTCTGTTTTTATTATAATTTTTACTTGATCATAGCTTCTACGAAATCTTTCCACATGGTTCTCAACCTAAAAATTCATCTTCATCTTGAAATGGATAATCTTCATCTTCATCTTAACATGGATTTTTAAAATGGATAAAAATCTGTAAAAATGATATGTTTTGTCACTTTTTAGTTCATCAAAAAAAGTTTCAGTTTACTATCAACCAAAACATTGCGTGTTTTTATAAATTATCCAAACAGAACAAAAAAAACTCTATATTTAAAACGCGTTCTTCTCAAATTATGTTGAGTTAAGGTAAAAAAGTTTTAGACAAAACTTAAAAAAAATTTTAGCAAAAACAGTGTAAAACAATTTTTTCGAGAAATCGGGGCTCAATATTTTAACCTCAAAAACGATCAATTTCAGTTTTTATATTAATCAAAAATTATGTTTAAATTCAATGTAAGTTTGATTTTGATCAGTTTCACAAACATGATGCAATCATTTTTTTTCATGTTAAAATCACAAAAACCAAAAAGGAAAACTTGCTTTTACTTGGAAGTCTTTATTTCTATTGATCACAACTACTGTCAATCCTCTGCGTACAATTTCAAAATGCATAGTCAAATTACAATCCTCAACCAAGTTTAGACTGGAGGAAATGATTATAATGGGTTATGAAAGTTTCAGGACAAAAATAACTGATATTTCACTTTTGAGGTTTTAGAATTGTTATAATCAATTAAATGTGCGAGATTTTTGAGGCGACTCAAGTATTTTATGACCCTATAGTAGATTTCCATTTCTTGTTTATCATATGGTTTTTAGACAAAAAACTAATTTAACTAATTTAATAATGGATAATAATTTGCTTTCAATAATAAAATCTCTAAACATGAGATGTTTTGTCTTCTTTATGGTTCATGTGAAAACTAAGATTTACCACAAACGAAAATTTCATTGGGACAACTTCATCTAAAAAAAACTAAGCCATATTGACTGTCAACAAATAAAAGTTGGATAATAAACCAGAATATTGCATCATAAGCATAATTCATAGGAGAAAAAATAGAAAAAAATTGTTTAATAGATAAAATGGTTTGAAAACTGCAAAACAGTTTTCCGTAAATTCAGATTAGCCAACGCATATTGAAAACAAAACTATGAGCAACTTAGATTCATGGTCAAACAAAAACAAGGTTCAAAAAACATTAGTCAGTTTTAATACCAATTTTAGAAGAATACTTGAATGGAATAAGTTTCTTTGTCAAAAAAGAGGGCTAGATAATCAAATCTTTCCGTTCAAAAAATGCTAGTTGAAAAGATGATTCTATTCTGATGAAAAAAAACTCCCACCCAAAGTTTTTGTCACCTTTTGACAGACAGGAGAGTAAAATGCTTTTTTACTTTGACAATTATTTTCTATTGAAATCTTTTTTGTCGAAAATAGTTGAATATTTTTGAATTTTAGATAGACTGGTTGCAAAATCACAACATGATATATAATTGATAATTAGCCATGTAACTTCGGTGCGGGGTGAATGCGTGAGTCTTTATCCCAAAAAACACACTATTCAGCATAACTTGAGAAGCATTGATAAAATTTTAATCATCTTCTGTTACTACATTGTACAAAAAACTATAAAAACCAATCGTGCAAGGCCAAACCTCTTCCCTTTGGTTTCAATAATTAAATTTGTATTGTCAACTACTCTCAGCTTCTACTGTCAAGGAAGTTGAGCTCATATTTACAAGCCGTAATTTAAAAAACTAATAGAACCGTTTGATCAAATTTCAATCGACATCAAATTGAGCTTCAAAACCAGGACGAAAAACTTTTCTTTGTGCTCGTTGATATATATGGTCTCAGATGCGTCTTTTTTTTATCAAATTCCTTATTAGGTATAACTGGATAAAAACCGATGCAAAAGAAACAGCATGACCATATAATTTATTTACAAACTATTTGTGATTTTAGACCACGAGTATTTTCCAGTTAAGAATTAAATTTTTCGCCCCTCAATTTCCGGGAGTTTCATGTACCCTTAATTAGAACACCTTTGGGTGATATTGTGATCCAATTGATATATTTTTTCTTTTCGCTCGTGATTGAAACTGCTAGTCTTCACTAGGTTTCATTCCTGTGCTACCGAGTAAGCTTTCGAAAAATTTGACATGTAAATTGCTGTACTTCTTTGGTTTTTCAAATCAATCAAAGCCATATATTTTCTTTCTTTCTTCTTCAAAAAGGCATTTATTGATATTTTTTTGCACTTTTTGAAGAATACAAAAAATATATAAACATTT